GTCACATCGTTAACCGCAGCGGGCAAAGCCGCGACCGCGTCGGACGTGTTCACAACCTCGAGGTCGCGACGGGACTGGGGTGGGCCTCGGTTCTCGGCCGCGTTGGCGCCCGGTAGGCCTGGGGCGGGGAGGGGGTCCTGGACGCGGGGAGTACGGCCTCGACGACCTTCAACGACTCGACGGGCAACATCACAGAGCGACATCAGCGCATAGGCTAGTGCGATCGAGTCATTCGTTCACAATGAGTCGGAGGGGGGGTGGTTCTGGGGGGTCCGGTGGTTCAGGGGGTTCAGATTTCATCCCTGTTTTCGATGCTGAGATGGTCAAGCTGAGGAGGGCCTCATGCGTTTGGAAATACGTTGTCAGGCGCCACAAGCAGTGCGCCGCCTGAAATCTGCGGCTTTGGGGCTTAGGCTCAGGGACAAGTCCGTGTTTTGACAGTACTCTGGTATGACCAGGCAACAGAAATTAGGGGAGCTCAGGGCACCCCTGATTTTGGGTGCACTGAACCTTACTAGTAACCCTCAAAGATGGCGAGATGGGTGGCCGCACTCGGCGTATCTAGGGACCGTCATTTCTGGTCGTTCAGAGGGTTAGACCCGGATTGGCCTGCCGAGGAGAGGCATCGCGGAATCTGACCTCGCCGTAACGTTTTTGCGACATACGACCGAGGCCGAAATGAGGCCTCAAATTTTTGTCTATTTTAGTACCATAATTAAAGGTGGGGAAAAGGGATTAAAACCAGTAGGGGACAAGGAAAAAATATAATATCCCTTAATTTTTTAATTTTTCACGGCATTTAATTCAACGGGGAATACCCTTGTTATTTTATGTTCCCGACAATGAAATTAAAAACATAGAAAAAAATTAAAAATGGTGAAAGAGAAAAGAAACAAAAGGAATTCGGCCATTTATTTAAACTTTCTCGAAATTTAATTTTGGGGAACTTATGGTTAATTTACTATTTCCGACAATAAAATTAAGGAAAGGGAAGAATGATGAAAAACGATGAAAGGGACGGGAACCCATGACTATTGGGAGATTGGCCTAATTTCGCCTCGATTACCCGCCATCAGCTCTGATCCCGGATTGAACATCTTCCCCGGATTTTAACAGTTTTCACTACTGCCGATGGTCGAGGTTCCTCGCGTCGCTTTCCCTGGTTTGCTTGATTACTAACATTACCGCAGTTGGGATGTTCTGAGAGCGGGAGTCGCATGGACAACATGGGGTGGTGCTACCTTGGGTCGACTATGGTGTTTGGTTCGGTACGGATACGAGGGTTGTTATGGAGTGGCTACGTCCTACGGTGTCTGACATGCTTCAGGTACGGTATGGGCCCGGTGACAGCTGTTTCACTACGGTGACTTATTTTCAGGTTTGGGACAGCTGCGGTGATTTATTCTCAGTACCGGGACCACTACGACAGTTATTCCAGGTTTGGAACCTTGGCGGCAATTTGTTTTCTGGTCCGGAAACGTTGCGGCATTCTATATTAGGTTCGGGACAGGTACGGAATTATCATGGCATGGTTGTACGGGTTCGGCATCCGCGTGGCACAGCAGCCCGGCACTGGATTTAGGGTTTGGTCAGGTTCGGTGGCATCGCGGTGTTTCGTTTCAGGTTCGACGCCCTCGCGGCGATTTATTTCAGGTTCGGAACCTCTGCGGTGACTTATTTTCAGGTCCGGGACCACTGTGACGATTTATTTCAGGTTTGGAACCTCTACGGTGATTTATTTTCAGGTCTGGGACGACTGCGGTAGTTCATTTCAGATTCGAGACCTTGGCGGCAGTTTATTCCAGGTTCGGTACCATTGTGGCAGCTTATTTTCAGGTCCGGGATCATTGCGGCGGTGTACTTCAGGTTCGGTACTATTACCGCGCCGCTGCATCTTGCCGTGTTTGACATGTTTCAGGTACGGTATTGGTTCGACATTGGCGTGGTACACCCACTGCATCACTTTCAAGCTCGGTCTTGGATCGGCATCGGCACAATATGTGTTACAGCATCTCCAAGCGATTACTTCAGGCTCTGCATTGGTGCGGTAACGATACAGTGTGTTGTACGGGGACAACACAGGCTGCTACAGCTTAAACCGATAATTCCCAGGTTAGGCATTGTTATGGCGACGACACAGACCCTTACTGTTTGTGGCAACTATATCTGGTGTAATTAGTGGGTTGGCATGTCTGTAGGCCTCTGAGGCTCAGTACAATCTCTCCAGGAACGGACACGGCGTAGGTATAGTTCGGGACCTAGCTGGCACAGTTATTTCCTTATTTCCTGATGCGGTACTCCGGTGCAGTTCGGGACTGCTGGTGCGGCCAGGCCTTACGTGGAAACCATTGTGTCGGTGCTTGAGACTGCGAGTGCCTCCTGTCCGCTGAGGCCACTGTGCGGGGTGCAGATCACATATAGTCAAGCCAGTGAAGTGTCGGGGGCGATTCAGCAGTTGCGGAGACCAGGGGGACTAGAGCGAACTGGTGGGAGTGACCAAGGCGACCGTTGTCACAGCAGGGGCGAAGACCAGAGGGACAGCAGCGCACGGACTGCGACCGCAGGGAACGCAGCGCACGAGTCTGTGCTCGTTCATGGGGCGCTGGTGCTGACACGGTGGTTACAGTAGGTGATGATGACGTCAACAGTCTGACGCGCTGGTAATCGAGCATCGGCAGCTACACGTAAGTTGGCAATAGGGAGCTATTGCATCTGCAACTCTTATCCACTCACCTGCCCCGCTATCACACACTTGCAGGCTGGGCCCGTAGAAAGGGGAGGACAGTGCGTTGGAGTTGGTGAAGCGGGGGCGTGCTTGAACACCGCACATCTACTGTGTGTGAGTGCGTCTGAATGGTAGAGAGGGACTGTGTATGATAGAGTGGGACTGAGTATGAGAGAGAGGGGCTGTTCAGAGTGAGAGAGAGTGCATAGTGAGGGAGAGAGTGTGCAGTGACAGAGAGAGTGCAGAGTGTGAGAAAGAGTGCATAGTGAGGGAGAGAGTGTGCAGTGACAGAGAGAGTCTAGAGTGTGAAAGAGAGTGTGAGAGTGAGAGACTGTGCAGTGCGAGAAGAGAGACTGTGTGGAGTGAGAGGAAGAGACTGTGTGCGTGCGCTGTGAGTGAGAGAGGGTGTGCGCTGTGTGTGAGAGAGTTGTGTGCGCGTGAGAAAAAGAGAGAGTGTGTTGATGGGGGAAGAACAGAGAGAGTCAATGTGAGAAAGTGAGAGGGTGAAGGAGAGTGATTGAGAGATTTTTTATTTATTTATTAATGTATTTGTAATTATTCCACGAACCTCGGAAGAATCAGCGGGAAGAGAAGGTATTTGCCTCGTCATCTAATTAGTGACGCGGATGATTGGATTAACGGGATTCCCGCTGTCCTTATTTACGGTCTTGCGGAACCACACCCAAGAGGACGGGCTCGGGAGAACCGCTGCAGGCGGGGACATCTCGCTGTAGTGACCCCTCTGTCCAGACAATCCCGCAGCCAGCAGGAACGGTGGCCAAGAGTGATTTACCAATCTGCCAATTCCGCTGTTAGCGGGGATGCTCATCAATGTGACCAATCAAGTTGATCCCGCAGCCTGCGGGGACGGTGCTCAACAGTGATTTACCAATCTGCCAATTCCGCTTCTAGCGGGGATGCTCATCAGTGTGACCAATCAAGTTGATCCCGCAGCCAGCGGGAACGGTGCTCAACAGTGATTTACCTATCTGCCAACCCCGCTGCTAGCGGGGATGCTCATCAGTGCGGCCAATCCAGTTGATCCCGCAGCCAGCGAGAACGAAACTCTTCAATGCAAACAATCAGTTGGTCCCGCAGCTAGCGGGAATTGTGCTCCCCAAAGAATCACGGGACTGACGATCCCGCTGCTGGCTGGCCAATTGTCATACTTTTGGTGATTTGGCAAGCATTCCCTCTGCTGGCGGGTTAATTATCCTACCTTTGCTGACTGGGCAATAGACCCTTCCCGCTGCGGGGGGGGACAGTTGTTTCACGGTAGCTGATCTGCAAATCGAGCCCTCCCGCGTCTCGTGGGGCCCAGTTATCTACTGTCGCTGATCGGGGAATCGAACATACCTCTGCTGAAGGGACATTTTACTTTACTCTCATTGATCTGCAAAACGAGCAACTTTTACGGCCAAGCCAATCAAATTCTGAAATCGGAGGGTCACTCGTACCTACTGATCACGGGAGACTGTTGGGTGGGGCAGTGTCATTTGCTCGGCAAGCAGTCAAGAATACCGGGTGCCAGCGAGCCTTTCCACTGTCATTTCTACTATTGCGTTCTTGATCGGACAGAAGAAGAGGTAAGGGGTATGGACTTGGGGTTAAGCGTAGGTCAGTACCTGCATGACACTCGCTCAGTCAAAAAGAGCGGGCTGGCGCGCTTGAGTGCGCCCTTTTACTTTATTTTACACTGTTGTAATTTCTATCTCAATCAACTGTCTGTGGAGAATGGCGGATTGAGCCTGTCCACAGCGGGAGGAAGAAACCGAGCTAACGAAGGAGGCGAGAGAGTGAACCTTGGGAAACGGAGGAAATGAGTGCAGGCGGTGCATTTCATCAGAGGGGAATAGACCAATGGTGCACAGACAGATGAGAGAGAGAAAATAGCGACAGAGAGAGAGAGAGAGAGAGAACAACGAGAGAGAGAGAACAGAGAGAGAGAGAGAGAAAGAGAACCGGGGGGGGCACATCCAAGGTTGACTCCGGAAACTCGCTGCTGCGTCCGTAGCTGATTTGCCAGTTGACTGTCGAAACTCACTGTTGCGTGAGCTCACTGAACTGTTGATTAGATGTTGAACCAATTGGCTGTTGAAACTTACGGTTGTATGAACTTGTGGTATTACCAGTTATCCGTTGAACCCCCTTGCTGTGTGAAGTTGCTAAATTGCATAAAGAAAGAAAAAGAAAATTGGAAGCGTGACAGGGCGCCGCAAGTTTCGATTCCTGCTGGTCGCCGAGGACCTCGGAAGCGGGCGCGGCGGGTGACAGGCGTCGTTGCCCTTGGCTTCGGCGAACGGTAGGCGCCCCTCCCCGGGTTTCCTCACAACGTTACGCTGGGGCAACCGGTAGGGTCCTGGGAGAAGATGCACGGTGACCGCAAGTTGCGATGCAACTTGTGCAAGCACCTGTGGCAGGGGAACCAATCGAAGGCCGCGAGGCACTTCTGCCAATTGAAGAAGTGCCGTGTTGTGCAGTTCGACGTGCTCGTTGAAATTTGGAACGGCACGGACTACAGATTCGATGAGCGACATCGCGCATCCATCCGCGCATACATGGAGGAGCACGGCATCACAGACTCCCGAGCAGTTGCTGGAGGTTGCACAGACAGGGATGACGTGCAAGACGTGCTTGACGAGATGGAGGAGCGGGAGGGGGTGGATTTGCCAGGGGAGGAGGTCGTGATGACGTCGCGTGGGGAGGACACTGAGATCCGAAAGGGGAAGAGGCCGATGGGGGAGACCGACCAGGCAGCGACCCAACCGGGGAAGAGGGTCCGCCAGTCGAAGATCGACGAGGTCTACACTGCGGACAAGCAATCGGTCTTCAATGACAAGTTTCTGCAGTGGATTTATGACTCTGGCATTCCGTTCAACGCGTTCAGGAGGCAATCGTGGAGGGAGGTCCGGAAGGTGGTGGATCAGCTGCCTAGAGGAGTGCAGATGCGATTTCCTGCCTTTAAGGAAATCGGTGGAGATGGAGTGCCCGAGCAGAGGGCGAAGGTGGTGGCTTTATTACGGGAGGTTCGAGAGTCGTTCAGTCACAGCGGCGCCACCATCTTGTCAGATGGTCGGAAATCGCGTGATTCTCGACCCATCGTGAACTTCCTTGCTGCGGGTGCCACTGACGCCCTACTCTACGCCACCATTTGCCGCGACAGTTTTGTACACGAGACGGGCGTCATTGTCTTCCGCAGGTGGAAGGCCATCATTGAGTCCTTCCCTGCGAAGAACGTCATAGCTTTCTATACAGACTCCGCTAGTAACTACACAGCGGCCGCTCGTTTTCTCGCCGCAGACCCCGATCCAGTGGTCCGGCGCACCACTTGGCTCCCCTGCTCGACCCATGTCTGCAACTTGATGTTGTCAGACATAGGGACACGAGTGGGGTGGGAAGTTGACACCATTATCCGTGGACGAGCGATGGTGCGATTTATTAAATTGCACGGCGTAGCTCTCGCCCTTTACAAGAAGAAGAGCCCGCGCGTTTCGCTTGTGCAGCCAGTTGAGACTCGCTTCGCATCAGTTTTCATGATGTTGACTTGTCTCCTTGGGAGATGCGACTCGCTGGAGGCGATTTTGCATGACGACGCCTGGGCGAGTATCCCTTGGGAGCGGAGACTGCTACCCCAGGCGAGATGGGTGCGTCTCCAGATTCGAGATGGCGAGTTCTGGTGCTATGTTGAGTTCTTGATTCTTGTGATGGAGCCCATCCATCAGCTGCTGAGGCGGATGGACAGAGGAGGAATGATGATGTCCATCGTCTACGAGTGGAGCCGTCATCTCGTTCAGCTTCTGACAAAGCTGGACGTTGTGCCGACCGATCTTCTGACCCCGTGCGTGCGAGAGGTCAGGATGCGGCTCATGCACTTGTTGGAGCCCGCGCACGCTGCTGCTCATCTCCTAAACCCCCGTCGTCGGTCTTTGAGGTACTACGCGTCCCTCCACACCACGACGGAGGATGCGGAGGTTGTACAGGAGTGTGATCGTTTTCTCCTTGCGCAGACTGGAGGTGATCCCACCAGCAGGGATTACCTCGTTGTTCTTGACCAGATGCGTCGATTCCATGCGCGCAGTGGAGACTGGGGTGACAGGCTGGTGTCGGATGCTGAGGCGGAGGGTTGCCATGCGGATCAGGAGACGCACCATTGCGCGACGTGGTGGTTTGCCCACGACACTGCCCACCCTGAGTTACGTGCTATCGCTATCCGTGTGATGCACATGTGGACGTCAGCCTCTCCCGCGGAGAGGAATTGGGCGGCCCATGAGCGCATTCAGACGACAAAGCAGGGCAACCTTGGCTTCACCAAGCTGGCACAGCTGGTTGAGATCACGACAAATCTCAAGCTGGCTTCATGCAGGCAGCAGGGTGGCGGCTATGTGCTTCCGTGGGTCATGGATGGTGTCGACACCGAGAGACGGCTGCCGGACGAGGACGAGGACGGCGGTGACCCCGAGCCTGACGTGTGGGGGGCCAGACCTGTTGGTACGTTCACCGACCGGGAGATCAGGAGGCAGATCGATGTTTTTCGCAAGGACGACACAAGCCGTCCTCCAGAGGTTTCTGCTGTATTTGGGGATCGGGCGGCCACTGTGCTCCCTTTCGACCATGTGCTTCCTCCCCCGTCCCGGGGAGCAGGAGAGGGTTCTGCGGCAGCCGCTGAGGACGGAGAGGACGATTCAAGTTGGATGGACGCAGAGGATGTGGCGGGGGGCACAGAAAGGACGGCGGAGCAGGTGTACTTCACGTACGGGGGCGGGTCGGACGGGCATGCGCCGCGGGCGTCCGTCATCACGGACGATGTCGCCGGCGGGGCACAGGGTAGCGCCACTCGACACCCTCCAGCAGGTCGAGGTCGTGGCGCCGTTGCTCGCGACGTTCACCCCCGCGCGAGGAGAGTTCTAGGGGTGGAGTCGAGTGATGAGGACGAGGGTGTGGCACCTCACGCTGACTGCCTGCGGGATCCGAGCCACCACTCCAGGGAGCATTTAGAGCAGCTTCGCCGGTCACACAGGCTGGCAGAGCGCAGCGTTCCGGTGTCCCAGCAGCCTCTGGACATACCGGTCGCGGAGGGGACACCGTCACACAGCGGCCCTGCACAGCCTGCGACATCCTCTCTGCGCACCAGCGATTTCGATATTGCGGGTTCGCATGGGGGCTCGCCTGTCTTACGATGCACAGTCCCTGACAGACCGGATTACAGTACGGATGTGAGGGAGAGGGAGGAGACTGTTGAGGAGAGGGATGCTCGCCTGGATCGCGAGGAGGAGGCACGGTTACAGTCCATGCCTCGATGGGAGGGCAGAGAGGCGTATGAGGCCGATCAGCGGAGGCAGAGGGAGTTAGAGACGATAGGAGCAGGTCCGCCATCGAGCGTCGGACGTATGCCGACTTCTGACACGATGCAGCCCCCCTCTGGGCCCTCTCATGTTATGGGTGGTGGTGCTGACTCGGACACATGCGGATTCCCCGCTGGAGGCGGGGGGCAGGCAGATGTGCCATGCGAGGGTGGTCATGTTGGGGTTGTCGAGACAGTCGGGGCAGACACAGGAGCGGAGAGCTCCGACGACGGCGAGGAGTGTGCGGCCGCCAGGGCTATCCTAGGCGACGTTGTGATTGGCATATGCGCGGCAGGCACATATGGAGGGATTCATGGAGGGGAGGAGGGGATGGTTGACGAGGGCAGTGTGCCTTTGCCTCAGGAGGAGTTGGTGGACGAGGGGAGTGTTCCTTTGCCTCAGGAGGAGTTGGTGGACGAGGGAAGTGTTCCTTTGCCTCAGGAGGAGTTGGACGAGGGCGATTTGGCTTTGCCTGAGGAGGAGTTGGTGGACGAGGGCAGTGTGCCTTTCGAGGCTTTCGTTGATGGCGCGGCAGAGGAGGGAGTAGCGGTCGACGCAGGCCACAGTGCCCCGTCCGTGCGAGATGGCGTAACCGGAGGGCATGTTGAGGAGGAGGGAGCAGCCATCGACATGTCCCTCGCGATTATTGTTAGGCCCCCGTCGGTGCGAGATGTCGAGAGAGGAGGGCATATTGACTCGGGCGGGCYGGGCTCTTTCTCCACARGTGGGCATTTCRGGGAGATGCCTCAGTGGGATGGCGGGGAACCGGGGGAGTGCACTCCAACCCCATTACATCCRGAGCAGCTAGAGAGGTTGGGGACGGAGGACCCTTTCCCGTTCACCGGTGGTCAGCCCTCGCCTCCCCCGTGGGCTCCAGTGAGCCCTATGTGGACTGGATCATCGCAGTCCGACATCCGCAAGCGGGAGTCTTTGGAGAGACAGGCGGCAGTGTTTTCAGGCGGGCCTGGCAGCAGCCATGCGCAACCACTGACGCGCCTTGTATCTCGAGCATCGCAGCAGGGATCAGCACGGGCTGCAGGTCTTCCACCAATTGGAGGTCGAGGCAGCGGGCGTGGATCTTCTTCGAGTCATCGAGGTGGCGTTTTAGGGGGGTGGTCGTCTTGTCGGTGAGTGACGGACAGTCTGAGGAGGGACTACGATAAAGGACGGGGGCTGTTTGCACGAGGACCATTGGGGGAGGGAGATCCTGCAGCGGGTGCGAGTGAGGCTGGACGACCGAGTGTCCACATAGCAGGACGTATACTCGGATTGGATAGAGTTGAGACGAGGAGGACAAAGGGGTCCGGCACGATCAGCCATTGACGACAGATGGCAGGGACTGCCGTACACATCGGGTGAGGAGGACTTGCATATGCCACAGGGTTCGAGACGTCATGGCTCGATTAGGGATCTTGATGAGGAGATTGCTGCTGACCAGCAGCGGTTGGCGGACCTCATTTGCAAGCGTGAGAGGAGGTCGGAGACGGAGGCACAGGCTGAGGAGGCGGACACAGAGACTGAGCCCATCGACACAGCTATGCGGAGAGAGAGGCATCGGAGAGTAGCATCCGTGGCAGGCTCACACCTTGCACTCGTAGGGAGACAGGGAGCACCACGCGGTAGGGGTCGGAGTGGGCAGAGAGGAGCATTGGCAGGGAGAGGGAGTGCAACACGTCATAGCACTCATACTAGGCGCAGCAGCAGGGGTTAGCGACTTGTGTAGCACGGCAGATCAGTTTTGTACTTTCATGTTTTACACGGCAGGAGTCAGCGACTTTGTGTAGTAGGGCAGATTAGTTTTGTATTTTCAGGTTTTTGTATATTATCTTTTTTTTATCTGTACATTACTTTCATGTTCTTAGTTGTTAGGTTTCAGAGTTGCTTTACGTTGTTAGTTTTGTTGTGCTATGTTTCCACCATGTTAGATGTCAGACTTGCTCATGGTTGTAGTTTTTTTTTCCTACACTGTGACACCAGTTTTGGTTTTCTTGGCAAGGTTGTCATGTTGACTTTGTTCACATTTCGTCATAGACACATTACGTTTGCCAGTGCTATGTTTGCATCATGTATTGCCAGTATTGGTGTTTCTGTGTGTGTTGTATTGTCCTTATGTCTATCAAACCCTATCCCCTCCCAGTTAATGTCCCTCCCCAACC